ATTAGGTCCTAGTTTGAATTTAGATGTTGGAAATATTTTCATTAGACCTGTAGTCATATTCAGGTTAGATTAACATACAGAAGTTTTGCAAGTCAAAGGTATTACAGTCACTATTTTCATCTAATAAATATAACATAAAAAATTGTCCCAAGTATGAGTAAATAGTTTGAAAATTCCAAAATAGTTGTGTTTTTTTCCCTTAATAAGTGTTTTTAGATAAGTTTGGTAATGTGAAAAACACGATAATAATTTTTTGGGGGATTTGACTTTGCACCCCACTTTTTGGTTGATATTTGACTTTGCAACTCATTTTCAAAAAACTACGACTTTGCACCCCAACACATACCATTTTGTGAAGAAAAAGTTCTAAATGTGGTGCAAAGTCAAGGGAATTTTAAATGGAAACGGGTAGGCATGGACTCGGGCCGGGTGGCCCGACCTAGAACCGGCCCGGCACGATTTGGAACCGGCCTGAATCGGTGGCCCGGCCAGGGACCGGTCCGGGAAGGCTCGGCCCGAGGTCTTTACGGTGCGGGCTTGGTCACCCAAAAGATAAGTCGGGCCGCGCCCGGTTTTGGTTTTTTTTTTTCAATTTTGTTTTGTTTATTCTGGGTTGAGGTTGGGTGTTTTGGGGGGGGGGGGGCGGGGGGGGTTAAGTAGAAAAGCCAAAAAAAAAATAAACTAAGTAGCCCGAGGCCCGGTTGGGCCCGGCCCGTACCCGGTGGCAACCCGGGCCGGTTCCGGGCCTTCCCCCATTCCTCAAAAGCCCGAACGGGCCTAGGCCCGGTCCGGGTCCATGCATAGAATGAGGTGCAAAATCAAAGTTTTTTCAAAATAGGGTGCAAAGTCCAATATCACCCAAAAAGGGTTGCAAAGTCAAATTTCCCCTAATTTTTTAGATATTAGTAAGGAATAATGACACGGATACCACCTGCAGAAGACCTAATGACTAAAATAGGATTGATTTTCAATCTTCCAAAAAAAAGACCCGTTTAGACAAATATGTGACTAAATTAGGTGTGAAATATCTTCTATGGCCCCGATGAATTTGCCCTAAATACTCCACCTGCCGCTGCGGATCTTATGTAGCCAAGGAATTGGAGTTCATCATTCAACAATGGCAGCTGTCGCCTCCATCTTTCCTGCCGGCTCCGCCTCTGTCTGCATCGAAGTCACCGCTTCCGTCTGCATCGCCGTTTCCGCCTTAGTCTGCATCTCCGCCGCTGGCCCCCTTTAAATCGACAACGCCCCTCCTTCTACATCTCTGATGCCACAACTGTTCCAATCTTCTCTTCTACTCTTTTTTGTTTGATAGCTATCTAACTAGGGTTGTGGCTATGGCGGAGATATGACAATGTGGCTTGGGCTTCTAGACAGTGGCTGATTCGGACTAGAGAGGCGGCTAGGGCGACGATGCGGCTGTTCATCTCGCTGCCCGTCACTGTTGCTGGTGTGCGAGGGGCTGAGGAGGGTTATGGGGGGTTGGCAGCGGTTGTACATGGGTTTGGGAGGGAGTTGGGGCTGGTGTGGGGCTGGATCTGGACTGGGGTTGGGGGTTGGTGCGGGGCAGCTGCAGTCACTGGCGGCGGAGGCTGGCCGCCGGAGATATGGTGGTGGACGGCGGTGGCTAGAGGATGTTGTCGAGCCAGTGACCAGAGATAGTGGGCGGTGCCGGTGGTCAAAGATTGGCGGCGGTCGAACCATGTAATTGTAACTAATTGGGTTTGGTAACTGAAACTAATCGGGTCGGTCGAGTAATTGTAACTAATTCAATCGTGTAATTGTAACTGATGCGATTTGAGAACTTTGATTGGTCGAATTTGGTAACTGTAACTAATCGGGTTAGGTAACTATTACTAATCGGATTGGGTAACGGTAACTAGTTAGATCGGGTAACTGTAACAAATCGGATTGGGTAATTGTAATCAATGTTCTAAAAGGCGCTAGGCGCTAGTCGGGCGGTGACTGACCGCCTAGCGCCTAGCCTGCCTAGGCGGGCGCCTAGGCGCCGACCAGGGCGCCTAGGTATTTTCCTTTATTTCTTTGTTTTTTTTTTATTTTCATTGAAATTTAAATATATTACCAATAATTTTATATTATTTTGAAAATAGAAATAGCTCATATAATCATTAGATATTATGGTTTATGTATAAAAATTATAAATAATAAAATAATTAATAGATAAATGTAGAGATTTATATATTTTTTGTCTCTAAAAATGTATATATACACTCTAAAAAGTTATAAATATGTCAAAATTATTTTTTATCGTAGTAATATGAAGCTAAACTATATAGAAATAGAATGCTTATTGATCAAACGTGGTTTTAAGTCAAAACGGGGGAAAAAAGTTGAATCGGGGAAAAAATTAATCCGGACCGCCTAGGCACCGCCTAGCCCGCCCAAGAGCCCGCCCAGCCCGCCTAGGCGCCCGACTGATTTTTTCGACCGATTACACCAAAATCGGGATGCCCGGCCACCGCCTAGCGACTAGGCGGCGCCTAGGCGGGCGCCTAGCCCGATTTTTAGATCCATGATTGTAACTAATCGGGTTAGGTCACTGGTCGGGTGTAACTGTAACTGGTAGACGATGGTCATTGTGGCGGTGGTCACTGCACGGGAATCACTATAAAAATTGATCACCGAGCGGATGTCACTTTGACAATTGGTCATTGGACAAAAGTTACTGCACATTTGGTCACTGTGATGCAGGTCATTGGTGGGACGTATTAATTTTTGATCACTGGATGAATTTTGTAACTATGTCATTGGTAAGTGTAACATTGGTCACTGCATATTTGGTCACTGTGACGGGTTACTGTAGCAGGCCAGTGAGTTTGGGCTTAGTAAGGGTGTAACAGTCCCTTAAGTATTATTTAGTCTTAATTTTGGAACTTAAAAGAAAAGTCTCTTTTTTTGTCCAAATGCTTTTAATTAGTATTATTTGAGGACAATAAACATGTATTTATTTCAATGAATCCATGTACGAAGTATTAGTAAATAAACTAGTTTCTTTAAGACGTGCTTATTTAGAGTCATTTAAGATTTCCAAACGTAATTGTATCATACTTGCAAGTTGCAAGTAGTTTGTATGTAGAAATTTTAACTCTCAATTTGATGATATCATCAATATTGTTTACTCATTAGTCATCTCTCCCACCGTTATATTATGTTGTAGGAGATGCAAGGTACACAAATTAATGTGGAATTTCATAGTTAATTTTGCATAAATATGGCCAAATAGGATATTATAGTGGTGGACCGGGTCACCCGTCCGGGTGCCGGTTCGGGCCGGGTCACCCGTCCGGGTCATGGGTCGGGCCACCCACCGGGCCTGGCCAGGGCAGTTTTTTATTTTATTTTTAATACTGTATAGTTTATACAAATTCTTTTTAAAAACAAAGTTCAAGTGCATTTATTTGAAATAAGAACTACATTTGAGAATTGAGAAAAAAATTACAATATGAAATACGATTTCTAATAAATATCAATCAGAATTTCCGCCACCGTTGGTTGTTGTTTTGCCTTTGTCACAAGACTTAATATGTCTTCTGGGCATCCCGTATCCGTGTGAACGTCCCAAGCTACACTCTTTCTTGCACTACATGCAAGTTGCCCACCGCATCATGGTCTTCGGATCCTTCCACATATCAAAATTGTTTTGCATAAGGGAAGATTTACTTTCCATCTTTAAAATGGTAGATTGGTAGTTGTATAAGTAGGAGAATAAGAGAAGATGAAGATGGAGAAGAGTTGAAGAAGAGGTGCAGGAAAATGTTAGAAAATAGGTGTATTTATAGAATTTTTTTACTATAAGATGAGTAATACACTTATATTTAATACTTTAATATATAAAGTGTATATTAAGTAGATGTAGAATGTATGTATTAAGTAGATATAAGTAGATATAAGTAGATAATTAGTAGAGATTAAGTAGATAAGAAATATAAAAAATATAGTATATGTATTTATAAGTAGATAATTAATATATAAGTAGATATAATAATAGTATAAGAATTAAATAGTAAAATATAATGGAGATTGGAGAATAAGAGAATAAGTAGATAAGAAATATAAGTAGAGAAGTAGATAATAGTATATATTAAGTACTAGTATATACTAATAGTAGATAAAGTATATTTAATACGAAGTACATTAATATATAAAGTATATATTAAGTAGATGTAGTATGTATGTATTAAGTAGATAATAAGTAGAGATTAAATAGATAAGAAATATAAGTAATATAGTATATGTATTTATAAGTAGATAATTAATATATAAGTAGATATAATATATGTATAAGTATTAAATAGTAAAATAAAATATAATGGAGAATAAGAGAATTTGAGAGGATGAAGATGGAGATGAGTAGAGAGTAGAGTAGGATTTAGGAAGAGTTGGAGAAGAGGTGTGAAAAAATGTTTAAAATTAGGAGTATTTATAGGGTTTTTTTAACCCCCCAAAAGCCCCGAACCCCCTGGTACCCACCCAACGGCTATATAGCCGTTTGGGATGTGGGTCAAGAGCCAAATGGCTCTTTAGAGCTGAAAAGGGAAAAAAAATTAAAAATATGAACGTTAGGCCCGGACCCGGGCCCGACCCGGCCGGGTCGCCAAAACTAAGAACCGAGCCCGACCCCCCCCCCCCCCCCCAGTTTGGGCAAGGACCCGGACCCGGACGGCCGGTCCCGCACAGTAGCGGGCCGGGCCGGTCCACGGGTCGGGTGGCCCGACCCAAATCCAACCTAGCCGAGCCTAGGCCCGGAACCAATTTCCCGTTCCGGGCCGGTCCCCGCACAGTAGCGGACCAGGCCGGTTCTCGGGTCGGTCCGGGTCCATGCCTCGGATATTATGGTGAAAAATATTTAGGACAAATCAAAATGAAAATATGAAATGAACGGGATATTGGTATCATAGGTTTAGAAATTGCTCAATACAAGATTAAAATGCACACAAAGCTCAAAAATAGAACTAAGAAAGTAAGAATATTTTATTTCTTAAATGAGATTTATTTAGTCTTACTAAAATAATAGATTAATTAAAACTTCTCAAAATATAAGTCCTGTTACAACCTCTGGGGGTTTGGGAACCGAAATATCACCCACCCCTACTATTCTATAGGGTACTATAAAATGAAGTAACAATTCACCAAGCATTGAAGGCTTGAAGCCAATCTTTAATACTCAGCAGGTCGTACATAAGCATGCAAAGAAGACAGGGGTGAGAAGGAAATAATTTGCCAGTCTTATCGACTTGTTACAAAGTGTTTACTATTAGAGAAAAAATAGGGTTGGCTAAAGAATGGGTATTTATACATGCTCCTCTAGTAGGTAGGCTGCAATGGTGGTTGATCTCTTTCCTTACATAAAACGCCGCAGGGCCCCATATCTACCTGTGTCTCTATCTCACTCACTCTTTTTGCGTTGTAACAGCATACATATTTTACAGGTCGGTAGAGGGTAATATAAAAATATCTGCAAACAAATGGATGGACATTTTATATGTTCTTACACCCAGCGAGTGAGTCCTCAAAAGACAGCATTCCAGAGGGTGTTATCGCCTTCCCCACATCGGTGGTGAACCTCCTTCATCTTCTCAACCGAGTTGCAAATGCCGCTGCATCTCCAGTCAAAGGAAGCAACACATATGTTCCCCGCTTGTGCCTTCCATTCACAGTCTGGCAGGCAAAATTGAGCCATTGTATTAGAAATAGTTATTACTTGGTTTGGTTTTGGTTTGGCATTTCCCAAAAAGAAACCTTAATCGAACTTATTGAAATAATAGAAAAGTTAGAGATGGTGTTGATGTTTAAAAAAACTGAATAATGGATCTAACCAGGCGGAGTTCCACAGCACAATCTTCGGTCATCAATATGCTCAACATCCAATCCGAGGAACCATGACCCCAAAGAAACATCCTCATTAGCATATTTGTGAAGCACGTTCCTAAGAAAAACTAATATTTTCAGATTCCCCAGTTGGAATATATAGTTAGATACCCAATGACCTGTTCACTTGAACTTGTTTCAATCCAGACCAGCCTAGAATAGACATCACTAAATAATAATTACAAAAATACACATAATGTCTAACCATAACAAACCAGACTTAAACTGACTCAAAAAATCAGTCCAAATGAACATGTCCTAAGAATGGAAAGTGACTAGCAAATTTTACCAAGAAAACTAGCTAAAAGGCTTACTGGTTTATTGAGATGTAGGTGGCTAAATCTTTAGAAATGGCATATAGCTGCCCTGTTGCATGGCGAAAATACTTGTTTCCTTCCTCACCAAATTTCCAGTGTTCAGGCTCATGATACTTCACTCCCCTACAAATAAGAGGACCCACAACAACTGTGGTCAGTAAAAAAGGGCAGAAATTGAAAATCATCACTATTTATTCAGCCAAATATCTGGAGAATCTTCTGCTTACTTTTGGGCAAGAACAGGACCCGATTTCATGCATCCAATATATACCCGTGGTTTGGAACGATGCCTAGCTAAAGTTGCCCCAAGCGTCCCTAATGTTTTTATACAACATGACTACATCAGAAAATGCTGTTCAGCCAGACTATAGTCACTGGGCATGTTGGTGAACACGAGTCATGTTTCACTCATATTGATATAATTTGTCTTACCTATATTTACATGTATATCATCGTCAACTTTCACATAAAAATCCGCATCCCAAAGCGCAACAGCAGTAGTAAAATAAGTCCTTGTTTTCGCAGACAGCTCAAGGTACCCCTCAACATGTTCCTGTTAAAGTTTGCTTTCCACGTGAGATAAACTGTCAATTCTTAATAGGAAAAGCAATTGAGGGCGGGTAAAACACACAAAAATAAGAGTAACTACCTCTTTGAAGGAGTTTGTTTTGTTTCATTTTATATCATTGCTGAAAAGATTTGGTGGGTATACACATTTTCCTTACTGATGGTCTTGAAATCTTGATAGAATTCAAGATGTGGTTGGGGTCATTTAATTGTGTCATAAGGCACTTGGGCCAAATCACACTAAATAACACCAGAAATCTCTAATGCCTTATTGACCAGTTATTTTCTCTCTAATTTTACAATACTGGAAGTTAACAATTACCAATCTCAAGAAATCACCATGCTTCTTGTCTTCTGCTTCAATTGCTCTATCAAGAATACCACCAGAAGTAGCACTAGAAAAGATAGGAGATTCAGAAACAGAAAAAAGAGTGAAAACTAGTAATTGATATAGCTCAAATATCAATTTCAGATATCAACCTGTGTCCTATTACAAATCGCATAATAATTCCTTTTTCCTCCTCAAGCTTCTTTCGTATGTCCCCTGTTTTATACGGTAAATGATAGAAATATAGTAAACAAACAGGTGTACATGGTGCGTTTTGGCGATATAAAGCAAAAAGCGAAGAAGAGAAAGAAGAAGAAAAATATTAAAGCCATGAATGAAAGAGAAACCACCTTGGGGCATCCAGGTAGCACGGATGGAGTCTCTTCTTTTTCTGCTGCTAAAAGCAGTATTTATACCAACCACCATTAGATATTTTCTTTTATTTTTTAAATTTGGAGAGATCTTCAGGTCTTCAGATATGGGAGAGCCTGTGAGTATAGAATCCTGCAAAGCCCTTGCTGCGGCTATTTCCATCTCCAAATTAGATATTGTTTTATCCAGATTCCTGCATTTTTAGGTCTGAAATTTATTAAAACTAATAATGGCATTCATGAAATCTAAAATTCCATGGATCAAGAAGCGTACTGTATAGCACTTTGTGTCTTTGAAACCTCAGCAAGAATATTGCTGGATTCACTTTGCCCATCCTTCTTCGAATGCCAACAAAAGAAAAACAAATTATAACTTTCTTATTGTTATTAGGTCTTTTTCCATGAATATTACTAAATTAAATTCAAAAGACAAAAATATTACTCATTCTAAAATTTTTCCAAAAAAGTGACATATTCGGTGACTAATTCTCAATGACTTATCATCTACCAGGGACTAGTTCTGAAATACAACTCTTGTCCGATTACTAGTCATATTTTTGTTCAGGGAAACTATGTTAGTAATGTACATGTCATTTTTTCTTGTTATTATATGCAATTCAATCTTAACTGCTCACACTTTATTAAAGCTAAAAAAAATATGCAGTACTCACAATTCCATGATCACAACCATTAGAGATTAACTTTATCTTTTCATCCACAAGTTGTGAGTTCCTTGATATGCCTTTAGCTTCTGGGACCGCCCACATTCTATAATACCCAAAACAAATTCAAAACTTACAATTAACAGTCCATGCTTTAGATTTTAAGGGAAATGATTAGAAAAAGGGCAATCATTTTTACAAACAGGAGATTTAGCGGGTCATTGACTAAAGTTTTGTGGATCATTGAGCCGAAAATTGCCCGGACAAGAAGAAATACAGGAAAAAATAATCTCAAATCGGGATGCATCAGGGGACCTGTCATTGAAGAGCATGCCAACGCAGAAGCAGCCAAAACAAAGCAAGATAGTAAATTTTCTCGAAACGACTCCTTTCTGAGTGGACTCAAATCCTCTGCTCTTCCAACCCATTCCGCTCCTCTTTTGCTGCTGCCGCTAATAATCATAAACCGACATATCAGTGTCTAAACTCAACGGATGGCGCCCATTTCGGTTCCTAAACGGACACACAGCTTAAGAACCAGATTCAAGACTAGACATTTCACAGAAAGGAACCAGAGATGAGGGTGGAGGAATTAGGTGGAACTTGTATCAGGACAAGACGACTCACCTGAACTACCAAATGGATGACTTTGCAGTAAAAATGAACACCGTTCCGGATCAACAAGTCAAAGATTTCTCCTTCTCCACCGCTTTGCGTTTAACTTTTCTCCCTTATTATTACCGACTGTTACGGAATACGTATTGAGCAGTTTACTTTCATCCCGTCGTCGTCGCAGACTGTCGGTGGGGTGTCAGAAGCAACCACTTCCAAAGAATGGCCGCATTTGTCTTAGTTCTAAAGCTCCTCATACATCATAATTCCCAGAAAAGATCAGGTCCCTCCGGAGGGACGGGAGGGACCGTCCGAACTTTACTGTTTGGAGCGGTTCCCGGTGGAATTTTGAGATGAAATTTTTTGAGCATGTTCCTCATCAAGTCTAGTTTGTCCATACCAAATTTCAGCTCAAAATTCGATCGGGAAGGCAGTCAAATAAATCCTTGAAGCTTACTGCACATTCTGCGCATATATAAAGTGCAGTAAGTTTCAACAATTTATTTGACTGCCTTCCCGGTCAAATTTTGAGCTGAAATTTGGTATGGACAAACTAGACTTGATGAGGAACATGCTCAAAAAATTTCATCGAAAAATTCCACCGGAAACCGCCCCAAACAGTAAAGTTCGGACGGTCCCTCCCGTCCCTCCGGAGGGACCTGAGCAGTCCTCCATAATTCCAGTGTTCCTCACTTGGTCCAACTTTTTGCAATTTTACCACTACTTTATCGGCCCGTCTTACTTTAATAAATCAATGAAAATGAAAAGTCAATACCTAATTACTTCCTGTAGTATACTCCATCTCTTCTATTATAATTGTCTCATTTTTAACCTTTTCATTCGTTCCTCTAAATTTGTCTCATATCATATTTGGTAATACTTATGTAATTCTAATTCATTCTTACTTTGTTCAAAAGGGACCAAGATAGTGGTTGTGACTTATTGGAGTTAGGAAGTGTTTGCAAAAGTTTAATAAATCTTGGCTCAAAAAAAGCTAGAAAGGGTGTTTTCAAGTAACAAAAAGCACTAAAAAGTTAAAAGTTAGTGTCTATTTTTTTTCTTTTTCTATTAAACAAAAAATACATATTTTGCCAAACACTATCAACTTTTACTTTTCAAAATCATTTTTTCTCAAACACTACAAACTTTTACTATTAGACACTTTCACCAAAATCACATCAAAAAGTGTTTTTTATTAAAGCATAAGCTATTGCAAACACTCCCTTAATAACGGGCTTATTCTGACCGTCGGTCTTGTACGAAGTAGAATATATCTATTATAATATAAAGTAACAAGGTGGGGAGCCTTTTTTTGTTCCAAATCCCGCCCATTTTAGGGGCAGTATAGACATTTTTGTTAAATAGAGAATTAAATGCTGAAATCTTATTCTTGGCATGTAGCATGTGTCCATCTATGTTATACATACATACATACATACATACCTACCTACATACCTACATACATACATACCTACCTACCTACCTACCTACCTACCTACCTACCTACCTACCTACATACATACATACATACATACATACATACATACATACATACATACATACATACATACATACATACATACATACATACATACATACATACATACATACATACATACATACATACATACATACATACATACATACATACATACATACATACATACATACATACATACATACATACATACATACATACATACATACATACATACATACATACATACATACATACATACATACATACATACATACATACATACATACATACATACATACATACATACATACATACATACATACATACATACATACATACATACATACATACATACATACATACATACATACATACATACATACATACATACATACATACATACATACATACATACATACATACATACATACATACATACATACATACATACATACATACATACATACATACATACATACATACATACATACATACATACATACATACATACATACATACATACATACATACATACATACATACATACATACATACGGACTTGCACCTCTCGCCCAAGTCAAGAATTACAAAATACCACCCAAAGCAATTAAATATTAAATTAATATTAAATGCATAATTAAATGCTGAAATGTTAATCTTGGTAAGTACAATGTATGTGATACATGCATACATACATCCGTAGTTGCAAATGCCGCCCAACTCGATGATGATTACAAAATCACATATAGACCAATTAATACCATATTTTAAATTTGGGTAAAAGTTTTTTAATTTTTTTATAATTTTTTATTTGTACTCCGATTGTTACAAAAAAATATTAAAATTCACAACTTTTTACGTAGTTGTTGAGTTTAATCCAACACGATATAGTAAATATATGTATGAACACTCAGTTTTTACGTGGAAACCCGAAAAGGGAGAAAACCACGGGACTTTTTAGGCTAATGTCCAAGCCCTCTCAATTCTCATTAGGCTCTCCTCACCATTACATAATACAATTTGAGCTCCCATTAATGGAGTATTATCTAATCTAGAGAGCTAAAGGAAGAAGAAAAGAAAGGATCCCTAATATGGAGGGAAACTCCCATATTTATAGAGAATAGGGGAAGGGGATGCTCTACACCCTAATGGGCCGCATGGGCCGGAGTGGGCCCAAATGGCTAAGGTGGGCCGGATGGGCCGAAATGGGCCTAGCTGCTCGGGCTCCGTACTACGTAAAGCCTTGGACTCCTGAACAGTAATAGGCCGGGATAATATATCCCAACACAAGTCCCCCAGTTTCTTGAGTAGTGAGTGCGCGAATCTGCTCGAGAAAGTATATTCTTGCCTGCGCTCTGCCTCTGTCTAGCTGGAACCTGTGTCTTCGAATAATCATAATATATGAGTGGATGTCCACACTCCTGAACGTAATCTACCCGTGAGGCACCCCCCTTCCCGACAGGGTCGGGCGAAGGGTGCTCCTCCACGGGCACACTCCCCCTGAATGCATCAGGCGGGAGTAAAGCACTCTGACTCGAGCTTTCCAATCGGAGAAGCTTAAGGTCCATGCATCTATAAACCGACGTCGCGGTACTGTCAAAACATGATGCACGTGTGTATGTATGAATGTATGAGGTATGATGCATGAATGCATGTAATGTATGGGTGCAATGTATGAGAGAAGGAATGTGAGATGTGATAGAAAGCGGTGGCTCTCATCGAAAACCCGGGCATGTCAGCGCCGAGAGGCAGACGTGCTGCATAAGATGGTCGTCGCCATCCTAGAAGGGATGGGCAATCCGGAGATGAACCCGACACAATGGCACGGCGGGGCCGATTGTGCTGCATAAGAGACGTTCGTCGCCACCCTGGAAGGGATGGGCGAGCCGAACATGAGCCAGACACGATGGCGCTGAGAGGCCGATCGTGCTGCATAAAGACGTTCGTCACCATCCTGGAAGGGAATGGGCGAGCCGAACCGTGAATTTGGACACGATGGCGCTGAGGGGGCCGATCGTGATGCATAAGACGTTCGTCGCCACCCTGGAAGGGATGGACGAGCTGAACGCGAGCCGGGTACGATGGCGCTGAGGGGCCGATCGTACTGCATAAGACGGTCGTCGCCATCCTGGAGGGAAATGGGCGATCCGAACCGTGAATCTGGACACGATGGCGCTGAGGGGCCGATCGTGATACAGAAAAATAGTGATGATCATCTCATGGCCCTCGGCCTCTCGGTGATGTGTCAAGTCTCTCTCCTGATTGGCTGTGGGAAGCCGATCGTCTGCCAGGACTCCATCCGGGAAGGAATGGTGAGCCTGAAATAAATCTGGGCGATGTCCCTCTTGTCTGATCTGGGAAGCTGGTCTTCGTTCGTCTACCATATCCGTGGTCCTATGTACGGACCGCTAAGCAGTGTACACTCGGCACACAACAGACTCCGATAAAGAACTGGTCCCTCCTGTCTGATCTGGGGAGCTAATCTTCGTTCGTCTACCGTATCTGTGGTCCTATGTACGGACCGCTAAGCGGTGTACACTCGGCACACAACAGACTCCGATAAAGAACTGGTTCTTCGTGTCTGATCCATGGAGCTGGTCTTCGTTCGTCTACCGTATCTGTGGTCCTATGTATGGACCGCTAAGCGGTGTACACTCGGCACGCAATCAGACTCCGGTAAAGAACTCGGTCTTCGTTCTTCCCAAGTCTCGTGAGTACTGGTCTCCTGGTTTCGCAGGAGACGTTCGTCATCCCAACTATGAGAAGAAACAGGTTTATCCACGTCGGGATTCCCTATTCTTCGTTCGTCCCTGTCGTGGTCCTACTAATCTTCTTACTCCGAAGAAGACGTTCGGTCATCCAACGATCGCAAGGAGGAACAGGTTTATCCACGTCGGGATTCCCTATTCTTCGTTCGTCCCTGTCGTGGTCCTACTAATCTTCTTACTTCGAAGAAGACGTTCGGTCATCCAACGATCGCAAGGAGGTCACTGGTTTATCCACGTCGGGATTCCCTGCTTCGTCGTCCCATGCTCGTGGCCCTACTAGCCTTCTGCTTTGGCAAAAGGTGTTCATCGATCCACGGGAAATGGGAGGAACTGGTTTATCCTGCCGAGGTTCCCTTTGGTACGTCTAGCCTCCCCCACGTTCTACTAACCTCCGCGTCGGGAGACGTTCGTCATACGCGGCGAAGGAAGATCAGGCATACCTCGTCAAGACTCCCTCTCTCATAGGAGCTTCTCTCTCCCCTTCTCCCCATCTTTTCTCTTCTCTTTTTTTTTTTTTTTTTTGAGGGAGGAAAATGCGTTCGTCGGTTTCCAAGAATGACCACAAGTGATGTCACACGTAACGGTGGTGGGATACCAAAATGAAGCGGATGACGAGGCGATGGAAATGCTGGTCGTCATGCGAAGGCGATGGTCACCCTCCTGGAGGGGAGGGGTGAGCCCGATCGCTAACTCAAGAAGGTCGGCATTGGGAACCGATATACAATGATCATAATGTCACTGAGCAGTCGGTCCTGATAATGGAGATGACAATAGTGTCCGGTCAGGCCGATATATCCGAGCAACGGCTCTCATCCAACGCAGCGCGGGGATGAAACCGGTCTTCAAAAGATAAATATGTCGTGCCGAGAGGCCGAACATAACATGATTGTGTCGGCAGCGAGAGGCCGACCTGAGAGAATCAAACAACGGTCCTCATCCGCGAGGTGGCGGGGATGAGGCCGGTCTTCAAAAGACAAGCACGCCGGGCCGGGGGGGGCCGAACATGATATGACAGTGTCGGCAATGAGAGGCCGATCTGAGAAAATCAAGCAACGGTCCTC